ATCAAAACATCACATCATATACCTTAAATTTATACAATTTTGGGGGTTAATTTATACCTCAGTAAATCTAGAAAATAAAAAATTTAAAACCCAGTTTATTCAAAACAGTAACAAGCTAGTCACTTCTTTGTTTTTTAATAAACTTTTAATAACCTTTAGTGCCTAAGAATAGCACAAATGCTTTACTCTTTGCAGAAATACCATACCTGATGTTTCAACTGAGTTATTTCTTTTTGACACAAGGCTATTTCATTCTCTGCAAGTTTCCTTAAATCTTCATTTTCATCTGGGAACAGAAAGGCAGAAATTAAGTTTTTCTTAATTAATGTTAAATTGCCAACAGACTTCCAGGTAATAGTTTTATGGTTATCATACCTGAAGGGAAAAATAAAATGTCTATCTTGTACTTTCAATAAATGCCATTAATTAAAAGTGGCATTTTATACATTCGTTTTCATAAGCATTTATGTATAAATTCTTTTTCTGATAAAAGTACAAGTAAAAATGCCTATATAAAGAAGCTAAACTCTTCCATAATTTCATCTCTGCAAAATATTTACCTTAATAAATATGCTTTTAGACTTCCAACTCAGACTGTACAATAACAAATGAATGCATTTATCTAATAAGACAGACAGAAGGGAAATAGGTTACACCAGTAAAACGAAAATTGAATTAAAAAGTAGAAAGTTATTTATTTTCTTATAAGCAAATGTTTCATTAGTATTTTAGTATATACCCAAAAACATTTATTAGACTAGCTAATGTATACAGAATGTTTATGTGAAATTCTCCTTTCTCTGGCTTTACCTTATTGTTGTTTCATCTTTGAATTTTTGTTTTTACCTTATAAAACATACTTTCTCATTCCTCTATCCCACAGACGATATGCAGCCTATATAAAGGAGGAGGAAAGGAAAAATTTCTGGCTATTAACGAACTGTTCTCTCTACTGAAAGTTCAAATCCTTACAAAATATCAGTTTGTATGCTTATCTATTAGGAACCAACCATGCTGGGAACTGGGATAATAGATATATAAAGCCTGCACTCAAGAGAGCATTATAGATAATTTTAGTTTCTTTATATTTTTTCTAGAGGAGAAAAACAAAAAATAACCTAAACCACTATTAAATCTTATTTTGATGTATAGCTCCCACAATTCCCACCTGTCATGGGAGGGAACCAGTGGGAAGTAACTGAATCTTGGGGGCAGGTCTTTCCTGTGCTGTTCTCTTGATAATGAGTAAGTCTTATAAGATCTGATGGTTTTATAAAAAAGAGTTCTCCTGCACAAGTTCTCTCTCTTGTCTGCTGCCATATAAGACATGCCTTTGCCTTCCACTATGATTGTGATGCCTCCTCAGCTACATGAAACTGTGAGTCCATTAAACCTCTTTTTCTTAAAAATTACCCGGTCTTGGGTATATCTTTATCAGCAGTGTGAGAACAGACTAATACATTATGTGACTAAATATTAAAACAGTAGCACCCTAAAGGAATCTCTTGATTTTGGGATGGGCAGAAAAAGTAAAGAAAGATTAACTCAAGGAGAGAGAATAACAAAAGCAAAACTGAGATAAGCAAGTACAGGAAGGACAGCTGGAAATTATTTTGCCAAACATATGGTATGGAAGAAATTTGGCAGAATGGAAAATATGTTGAGTTAGGAAAAGCAAAAATGAAATCTAGCCCTAGCTTAATGCTGAGGTACTGTTAGGGGAATAGGCTCAACTTCTCTCAGTTATGGCAAGAATGAAATCGAAGTTGTGAGCTGGATGATCTCTAAGGTGCCTTTCAGTTCTACAAAGCTAAGGAGATTGGAACTAGAATCTAGAAGTAATTTAATTTTAATACTATATTTTATTTAACCCAATATGCTCCAAATATTATTTCAACATGTAATTAACATAAAAATATTTTTATACCAAGTCTTTGAAATCTATATGTATTTTATACTTACACATCTCAATTCAGACTAGCCACATATAGATGGTCAATAGCTGTGTGGCTACTGGCTACTATACTGGACAGCACAGCTCCAAAGGGTTTAGACAGAGGAGTTATTCATAGGCAATGGTAATATACTACTTCTTTAATTTCTTTTGAATTTTATAAATCAACATATGTTTACTGGGCACCTATCATGTGCCTGCCTTCCCCTTTGCCTACAAAGATGTTTATGGTTTCCCATTCTAAATGGGTCCTTTTCTTTTCAACCCTTTAAGTAGCTGCTTATTGTCACCCCTCTCTTCCCACCCAGATTTCTGGAGATAAATGCCATTTTTATTACTTTACTCCTATTAACTTTTACCTACTTAACTCCAATTTACTTCTCGAGCTTTTACACTGGATTCTATAATCATATTAAGACTATTTTTATTCAGATCACTAATGACAAAATTGCCAAATCTAAAGACTTATTTCAGTGTGAGTTGAAAAGCTGAGTTTTACCTTTCTTTTTCAGGTACTGAGGGTCTCTTTTTTTTTTTTTTTTGAGGCAGGGTCTTGCGCTGTCACCCAGGCTGGAGTGCAGTGGCACCATCTCGGCTCACTACAACTTCCACCTCCTGGGTTCAAGCAATTCTCCCACCTCAGCTTCCCAAGTAGCTGAGACCACAGGCGTGCACCACCACGCCCAGCTAATTTTGCATGTTTTATAGAGAGAGGGTTTTGCCATGTTGCCCAGGCTGGTCTCGACCTCCTGGGTTCAAGTGATCCACCCACCTCTCAAAGTGCTGGGCCTCTTAAAGTCCTGGGATTACAGGTGTGAGCCACTGTGCCTGGCGGAAGATCTCTTTGAAATTTTCTTCAATTGGCTTCTACAACTTCATTTATCGACTTCAAGGTCACAAAGCTCTGCCTGTTTTTTCTTGACCTTTCATAGCTTTCTTCTCTGCCTGCTCCTCAAATACTATGAATTTCTGGCATTGTTAGACTTGTTTCTGTCCTAACAAATTTTCCCTGAGTGTTCTCATCTATATCTAAGGTTTAATTTACCATGTACTGTATATCTCGAGAGCTCTCATATGATTATTTGAGCTCAATTTTTCTCCTATGTCAGTAATTTTTTCTCCTAGACTAGTATAGACACCTTTATCGGACTGTCCTTTTCACAGGTATTTTTAACTTAATATAGCATTCAACACAAAACCCCTTTTTTAAAAATTCGTTACAACTTTTATATTTTCATCTTAATTAACAGTATTACTCATGTTTTGAAGCCAGAAACCTAAGACTTGTCTTGGAACTCTCTTTCTCCTTCATCCTTCTCAGGGCATAAGCCACTAAATCCTAACTTGTTCCTCAGAATGTCTTGGAGTCAGACCTATGCCGAACACCATCTCTTCCTTGGATTGTTTCAACTGCCTCCTCCCTGGCCTGTCAGTCACCAGGGTTTCTGGAGAATAGCCAATTTATCCTCAATGCATGCCACCACTAACTTTTCTTTACAAAGACATTTCTTCTGTGCTTAAAAATATATGCTAACTTTCCATGGGCTATAAAAATAAATCCAAATTGTCTTGCAAGGTTCTTAACTATCTTTCTGGCTTTATGTTTACATGACATTATCATCTGGCACCTATTCTATACTTAGGCCATATTGAATTTCCCAAATTAGTACCTTTACCCAGGCTGGTCACCTCTCTGCCTTCAAACTCTTGTACCATCTGACAGACAACCTCCTGCTTACCCTTCGAGATACACTTAAATGCCAGCCTTTGTTTTTATAACCACTCTCGGCTTTACTGCAGACATTAAACACTCATATATAAAAGTCACTTCTTATTTTACTTCTTACATATCTCCCTTACTAGACTGTAAGCTCCTAGAAGCTATTTCTGTATTTTTGTTTTTAGTAATTAGTGGTGTCTAAGCAAAGCCTGGAGCATAGCAAGGAATCAATACAAGTTAAACTACTATTATACTATATATGGGTGGGACTTTATACCTCTCCAGTGTCTAACAAGTGCTTGCTCTCCTAGGTCTTTATTCATACATTTATATCTGTTCTTATCAGCTATATTATAGGTAATTAATTATATCCCTCACTAGACTGCGAATCTCTCTGGAAGCTTGCTACCCAAAGTGATGCCTGACCAGCAGCAGCTTGGCAGGCGTGGGACCTTATAGTAATGCAGACACTTAAGCCCCATTCCAGATTCACCTGGGAAACTTGTTAAAAATGCACATGTCTAGGTCTGAGATTCTGAGTCCTAAGTCGGCTTTTAACAAGCACTGCCCCTGATATTACTGCAGACAGGTCTCCACACCACACTTTGAGAAACACCGCTGTGGAGTCCATCACAGGGACAGTACCTTGTTTATCCTTGGTGAGCTAATGAGCTCTTGCCCGAGAAAACAATAAGCATGTAAAAGGGGGCAGGGCACCGTGGCAAGGGAGCACAAGAGAGCTCACAGGAAAGGATGGGATCAGAGCGCACATCATGATGTCTTGACTTCTGATCCAAACCAAAAACAGCTGCAAGCGAGTAAAGAATTTCCAACTCGGGTAGCGTGGGCAGTGGCTTAGCAGAAAAGGCCAAGGAAGAGTCAAGAGTGTGCTCTGATGCCGCACCCCGAGCCCAGCCCTTACCGTGCAGCAAGTGCTCGGTCTCCCGCAGCTCCTGCTCCTTCTCGTTCAGCAGTTTGACTACCGCCACCAACTCCGGCCTCCTGACCTTCAAATGAGCTTCAGATCCCGCCTGGCGCCCGAGGAAGGTCCGCAAGGGCCCGCCTTGGGCGAACAGCTCCTCCAGCGGCCGGCTACCGCAGCTCAGGGGCCGACGGGCTGCGCCAACGGCCCCGCGGGGCCACAGCAACCGGGCAGCACACCACAGAAGACTGGACCGCATCGGTAAAACGAGACCACGGCTACTAACCGGAACCGGAAGTTCCGGACAGAGGAGGTCTCGCGACAGCACCCGAAACTCGGAGATAGGGGCGAGAGTTCACCAAGCCCCGCCCAGCGCACGCGCTGTTTAATTTTAAAGGATTTTCCGGAAGCCTTTGAGGGAACTTCCGGCCAAGCGTGGGAACGCTGCGAACTTCCTGGAGGCAAAATTTGAGGGGGCTGAGCAGAGAGTGGTTAGTGCGGAGCGGGCCTGGGAGACCTTGGGCGCCTCCTCTGAAAGCTGCTTTGCACGTGCCTGGGTGGTGGGTGATGCGTTGGGCCGGAAGGTGAGAGCTGCAAATCGCCCCTCTGTGTTCTGATAGCGAGAATTTCTTTCCCGCGCACTGAGTCGGGTTTCCAGAGCCGCAGGGGAGGGCAGTCGAAGGTCCACTGCCGGGCGGAGGTCATACCCACTCAAGTCGTCAGTCTCCAGTGCACGCCTGGCCCTGAGTCTCCAAGAGCCAGTTTTTGTATGGGTATGCGTATGTCTATTCCTCCACCTTTTTTCCTGCTTAGGTTTCTCTTGTCCACTGTGGGTCAGGTTCGTGTTAATAAGAACGTGATAGTGTATTATGAGATAACCACTGAATGAATTTGCACAATATCTGCCACGACATTTACTTGCTTTCAGAGGACTTTGTTATTCGCCTCCTCATTCATTTTCACTTATTCCTATTTATCTTCAGCTACTTTTTAAAGAGGTTGATTGATTCCGTGTTACAACAACCTACAGCCCAACAAAGCCTTCAGATATCTGCCTCCAGCAGTCTAACCCTTGTCCTTTTCCAAAAAAACTGCTGATAGCAGATAGGTGCCAGCAATACAGACATTTATTGGCACAGTGCTTTGCAGTTTTCAAAATACCTGTTCACAGCTCAACAGAGAAATAGATATGGGGGGATAAACACAACCAGGACAGTCCCGGGAATGCAAGGGCTAAACGCTGAATCTGGGAACTGCCATTACCTGTTTTGGGCAGCGTCTACTAAGTGGCATTTCACTGTTGAGAGAGATGATATAGTGGAAGAACTTAAATTCTAATTTATTCATAAAAAATAAAATGGTAAAAAAATGGTAACTCTTCATCTAATCGAAACTCTTGAGGTTAAGGACAAAATTCTTACAAAATACGTTTGCCTTGTGCCTCTTTTTAAATCTCTCAGCACGACATACAAATGCAGAGTGAGTGGAAGAATGAAATGACTCTTACAGGAAGCAAAAATAGTTTTTTGCCACTTAAAAGCTCCAACTAATTACCTGAGTTCATTTTGTTTTTTGTATTCAAGCTACACAACTATAAAATTGTTCTGCTGCTGAAACCCATTTTATTTTAATCCTGATCTGAGGATAGAACAGGGCTGATGAGGATGTTTTTCTCTCTATTAGAACAGTTGTTTCCTGAGGCGGAACTCAACTTTGAATTTATTTAATTACTTGAACTCAACATGATAAATCTCAGTTGAATTCTCAGAACATAAGTGACTTCAAGATATATTTTATGAAAGTTGCAAAATTTTAATAATTAAAACCTTATAGAACAATGTAAAGAATCTAGCCAGAATTTATCTTCCCCCAAGTGCATAAGCAATTTAAGTAACAGACAGAAGTGTACCTTTTATTCTTATAGTGTTATACCAATGAGGAAACAGTAACTTTCTAAGGATACATTGTTGACTTTATTAATTCAAAACATTTTAAGAAAGTCAGTGTAATGCATATGCCTTTTACAATAACATCCAGAGGTTTCCACAATATAGTAAAATGAAAACAGCTGTATTTTGATTTACTTTGAAAACTCAAAGAAAGATACCTAGTTTGAGACTTCTCAATGTTTTTACATTATTGTCATGCTCAAATTCTGTTACATGGTGAAAATTCTAGCATTTTCCAGAAGTATATTATTGTACATAGGTAAAAAGATAAATTGATTCTAGGAAGGGGGCATAAAAAAACCAGAAAAACTTAAATTGGAGGAAGCATAATCTGGATTATCTATTCAATTTATGAGTACCCACTGTTATTCTGGCATTGCAAAATAACACCAGTGTGGTGCCTCTTAAGTTGTATTCATGCATTCAAAATTTCTTTATTGTCCACTAATAAATATTGGTGGAGTACAATATTTGGATATAGATTATTAAGTATAATGAACATGGTAGTAAAAAATTATACACATTCGATATGTAATTTTACAAAACCAAACATTGAAATTCTTTTTAATATTTAGCAAACATTTAAAAATCACATACAAGAAACATATTTATGACAAATTGGTTAAAGCCGGCCGGAAATACATCAGATCTTTTACATTATTTCAATATTCAGTGTTCATTGATTAGTGGAGGGTAATATAGAAATGCACTAAGCAAAATGGTTAGTTTAAATTTAAATTACTTCTTATCACAGTTAGTAAAACATCTTTAATATCCAAAGTATGTAGAGGATTATTGTAAATAATTATGCAGATAGTTCAAGGGAAAAATTCACTTTCACCTCTATTAGGTGAATATTCAGGCTAAGACTTTTGGACTTCTATTTTTCCACTTCACTGTATTTTCTTTATAGCATTTATTAGTAGTCACCTAATGGAACCTAGTATTAGTGTTGAGGAATCTGCTTAGAATTTGTTTAGCTCAGTGTACATGTCCAGAAAATTTACCTTCAATGTAATCTCTTTAAAAATATATTACTTTTCAGTGGAGAAACACAATAGATCCTATCTCAGCTAAGTGACCAAGGGTAACATCAATAGCTAAGAGTAGCCTGAAGTTTGAGAAACTCACAGGTAAGAGGAGTCCTCATGATGGGGCATGTACTTTTTGATATCATAGGATAAGCACGGCACTTTACCTTTGTGTTCTTCCAAAAAACCAAAAACCTGTGTCTACTCATGAGAAAAACATCAGACAAATCCCCACAAAGGAACAGTCTACAAATAACAGTTTATTTCTCAAAACTGTCATCAGAAACAAGGAAAATTTCAGAAACTGTCACAGCCAAGAGAAGCCTAAGGAAACATGACAACTAAATGTAATGTGGTATCATGAATAGGATCCTGGGACAGAAAATGGACATTAGGTTAAAAACTAAGGAAATCTGAATAAAGTATGAACTTAATGATCAATATTGGTTCATTAATTTTGACAGATGTCCCATAGGTATATATGGGACCTCTCTATTTGCAGTTTTTCTGTAAATCGTAAACTCTAAAATACAAGGTTTAATGGACATATTACTATATTAAATTTTATTTTTATTTTAAACATTTTATTTTTTCTTAGGAGTCAGGGTCTCACTTTGTTGCGTAGACAGGCCTGGAACTACTGAGCTCAAGTGATCCTCCTGCCCTAGCCTCCCAAAGTGCTGGGATTATAGGCATGAGCTACAGTGCCCAGCTGATTACCAGCTTTTATTAATTTTTATTTTCATTGTAAAATTGTTAAAGAAAAATCATACTGCCTTAATAGTAAAAAGAGTGTTTTCTAATTGTCAATCTCTTATAAATTAGTCTTAACCCTATACCTCATTTATATATTTAGCAAAAACTTGATATTATTTCTATCCTTGGGAATGTTGTTTTATTTCCATTGGAAACAAAATTTTCAAATTATTTATTTAAACTTTAACCTACTATCTATCTATATCTATCTATCTATCTATCTATCTATCTATCTATCTATCTCTATGTCATTGAAAGAAACATTTCAATAGATTTGAGGTGATGGTGAATTGAAAGTAGTGATTTGGGATCACATTATTGAGCAAAGCAATGACATTGCTATAGTGTTCCAGCTTAAAAATGATTGCTTTGATGAACAGCTAAATCAGATGTTTAAGGTATGTTTTGGGAAAAAATGGGGCAAGGTGCATTTAATCATGGCAATGACATAGAGATAGATAGATAGATTCCTGAGTAGCCAAGATTACAGACACAAAGCCCAGCTAATGTTTGTATTTTTTTTTTTTTTTAGTAAAGACAGAGTTTCAGAGGTCTCAAACTCCTGATCTCAGGTGATCTGCCTGCCTCTGCCTCCGAAAGTGCTGGGATTACAGGCATGAGCCACTGTGCCTGGCCTAAAATGACATTTAATACAAGCATAAGATAATTATTGAGTTGAAGAACTTTGATAAAATAATCAGGTATGTCACACTTTATTCTTTTTATGTTTGTTTTATTTAATGCTCATAGCCATCCTGAGAATTGTTTTATTTGTCATTTGCAGATAAGGAGATGAACTCCGAGAAGATAAATGATTTGCCAAAAGTCACATGAGACAGAAATGTAACCTGAAATCAAATTTGCAATTTTCAGTTCCTGATGTTTTTACACTATGCTCCCAAAGTGAATCTGTGGACATACATTTCCAGTAGTAAGTATTCTATGTGGCATTCCTTTAATACAGCAATCAGAGCTAGATCTTTAGAAAGGAAATGCATCCAAGCTTAGGACAGAAACACAATCTGTTTATTATTCTAAAATCTTTATTTCTAACTGTTTAAAAGCTCTAAGGTAGTAATAGCAATTAGGTATAAGTCAGCAGTTTTGAAATTCTGAAATTTCTGAAATGAGATTTAATATGAGAAATAATGAGGTAAGAATGAATTTCACATTGCACATATGACATATTTAAAAACATTATATTTGGTTATTGTCATCAATGTTTGATAGTGTTCCTTTTCCCTAGTCATCTTAGAACTTTGTCATAGGAATAAAATCAGTTCCCAAACTGGGACCTTCTATCAGTTAGGGCAGCATTTTGCCTTCTGTAGTGTTTTCACTAGAGTCAATGTATTGAACATCCCCTTGAATTCATCTGAAAAGATGTCACTTGGGGCTGAAGAGGACTATACCTCTAAGAGTAATAATTTTAAAAATACTTATAAAGAAATCAAATCCAGGTATTTAGAACTAATACTTGTCATTGTGCACTGTCTTGTGTTACAAGGATATTTTAAGCATTGCAGAGAAAATCTGAAGCAAGTTTTGGGTTATCAGTTTTATTGATAAATATTTGCAGTCATAGCAAGTGAAGAATTACTAAAATTTTTGCAGATTGGATATTGTTTTCACAGGAGAGCAAACCATTTTATATTAGAAATTTGAAGATGGAAAACACAAAAATACGTGCTTAAAAAATATACTTAGAAAATTATGCTCCTAAACTGTCAATGTAAATAGATAGCAAAAATATTTTTTGGAAATATCTTTACCATCTTTCAAAATAATTTTTCAATGTATCAAGCCCAAAGTATTCAAATTACATGTTTGATAGACTTCTATCTATAGGCATTTCCTATCTCTTTAAGACTTAAAAACTTATTATTATTATTGAGATGGAGTCTCGCTCTGTTGCCAAGGCTGGAGTGCAGTGGCATGATCTCATCTCACTGCAACCTCTGCCTCCTGGGTTCAAGCAATTCTCCTGCCTTAGCTGTGATTAAAGGCATCCACCACCACACCTGGCTAATTTTTGTATTTTTAGTAGAGTCGGGGTTTCACCATGTTGGCCAGGTTAGTCTTGAACTCCTGAGCTCAAGTGATCCACCTTCCTCAGCCTCCCAAAGTGCTGAGATTACAGGCTTGAGTCACTGTGCCTGGCCAAGAAATGTAGGTGGTTTTCAAATATGTTTTATGTTTTGGCTTTTTGATTGTATTTTGAATTTTTTCTCTTTACATTTTGACACCAAAGCATCCAATAATTGGTAGTTTTTGGAAAAATTATTTGTCACAATTACAATATGATTTTTAAAAGTATAAGTTAAAAGCATAGAAAAATGCATAAACTCAAAAGTAACAGGCATTATTTTAAATCAGCTTAATGGGATGAAAGTGTATTTTTGCTCCTAATAAACATTTTTCACTTGGTCCTTTGGCAAAACTGAACTATCAGGTAAATAAACCATACATATTTCATCTGTAAGTCAGAACCTAGGCAGCATTGAAGGATACTAATAAACACCCCATGCACTATGACCGTTTATCAGAGCTGGTCATTCTATGTACATATTTTAAAATTTCAAAAAAAAAAAAAGATCACATTATGGTCTTGACTTTTGCATTTCATCACTTCATTATCAAAGTTGTGTTTCGCTCTTGTTGTTCATGTGCACACTCTAACACTGTCAGAGCATCTATACTACCTTTGGATAACATAGCAGCCCGAGTAAAGTCGTGCCATCCATCCATTACTGGTGTGATATGTACAAGCTCAATCTCTGAAGAAATCTGGATCTCCAATTTATTTATGTATACATAATCTATATCCTCTACTTTCTTTCTTTTATACATCTAAAGTTAGGCACTGTAGAAAGCGCATTAATCTCTTTCTGTGTGCATCAGCAAATTCTAACAGTATACAAAGACACCTTGGCAATTAAAAACACAAAGTGTCCCTTTTAAAGTGCTGATTTTCCCCAGGGAGGAATTTACTCGCTAGGAAAACTCAAATTCTAATAAAACAAATATTGTGCTCTTGGAATGGTAGCATAGACACCAGTTGAAGGCTTTTTTGCTTATTTATAATAGCTCTGTAACTTAATCAGAAGAAATTATATCATACTTAGAAAATTAGTAGAGTTGCAAATATACAGACATACTCTGAAATGAGAAACCCTCCCTTCACCCAAAAATATGAGTTTAGCACAGAAATGCTCACATAGCATGGTTATCAACATCTGATGTGTAAATCAGCTTTAGAACCTTTCTGAACACAACTTCCTACTCAGGCTTCAAAAGGATATACCAACTTTAAAATCTGTGTTCTACAAATGCCCAGGTTAGAGATGAGGACTCTTTATAAGGGCCCTTATCTTTTACATTTGGTAAAATATTAAAGATATTGTCAAACAGACAATTCATCTAATAGTCCAAAGTATCTTATAAAGATAACTTATGACTAGCAGGTCACCATCATATATAGTAACAACAAGAATATAAAGTCTACATTTAAAAAGATTGATGCATGCACTGTGTCACAGTATATTACATATTTTCTAGTCATGTGCACCAATTTATTGTGCCTCAAACACAGAAACAAACATGATACTACACCAGACATGTGTATATATCATAGTAGCATAATAAACTCAATTCTAAGCAAGAAAAAATTAAATAATTTAGGAACAATAGAACTTCACAATAGAAGTGATGATTATTTTAGGTTTTCTTTACTCTTTAGGAAAAAATACGACTTTTTGTAAACATCTTCATAGCTATCTTTTCAACATATTACTGAAAACTATTATTCAAATAGTATCTAAATGACATGAATAAAATGTGTCTTAACACACTAACACTTTCAGAAAACACAGGCATTTGTTAAAAGAAATGATTATTATAAATATTTTCTATTTTGCATTTTTAACTACATTTTCATAAATAACGTATTTAAAAGTGCTGAATATGGTAGGATAGTCAGCAACGCCAGTGTAAACAGAATATTTTGTTTTCTACTCTGCAATTTTTTAAAAATCCCATTTTGTCAAACACTGCAACAGTTAAAATATTTGCATAGGGAATAGATAATAGCCCTTTTATTCATGTCTCCTGAATTCTATATAAATTAGAAAATCATACTTTCTTAGAAAAACAATTTTTGAAATGTTTTAAGTTTATGGAAAAAGAAACTTATGATGCCAACTTTTCAAGTAAATTAAATTTAAAAAGAAACCCCCAAACTTGTTTTTTAAAAAATATGTTTAATAAATTAAAAAATGAGAGGTAGTTAAAAAAATGACAAAGAAAACCTGTAACTGTAATATCATCCTTAATATAAGGCCAGTGTTCTCAGTGGATATAAATCTTTTTAAAACTTTCATTTTAGGTTACTCAGTATTATATTCATTCGGTTTAATATTAAAAAAATAGTCTTCAGGGGATATTAATATTCAAATGTAACACTTTGATATAAATATGACACTGATTATTTTAATTATCACTTTTGTGCATGACAGAATATTGTTTCCTTTAAGGTCAGAAGTACATGACAATGTCAGGCAGGTGTTTTGTCGTAAAGATTTAGTGTACTTATAAAAAATAATATGGCAGCTGGAAGATCTGAGCACTGTACTGCCTTTTAATGATGGATGAAAATTAATAGTTTGGTTTAAACATCTTTAAAATGCCATCCTTAAGATATTATGTGAAAACAGTTAAGGTCTGAAGTAGAGAATCTTCTTCATAACCCTTATAAAACTTTTTCTGGTAAAAAACTTAGCTTTTCATTGGATTTCACTTTCAAGGAAAATATGCCACAGGACAGATGGTATTCATCAAAATGTTTTACAGTGCTACATGTAGGCATTCCTTTATTAAATCCTTTCCTTTATATTCCAAAACTAAGTATCAAGCTTATTATTTTTTTCTTGAAGTACATAACTTTACACAACCATTTTAAAACTGGAGAGCCAGTCTTTAATAAATTAATTACAGTATTGGACATCTGATATATACATAAATTCATTTTCTTCTGTTACAATTAAAAGCAATATCACTCTTTGATTTCTCATTGAGATAGAATATCTTCAAATTGTTTTGTGCTTTTTTTCTTTTCTTCTTCCTTTTTTTTGTTTTTGTTTTTAGCATAACAAACTCTCCTGTAATGAAAATGCCACAGTTTTGGCAGTGTACAACCAGAGAAATCCCTATTAGGATTTTCCAACAAACAGAGATAAATAGCTCTTTTTCATGTACAGAAATATTGGCTTCAAAATTAGCGTACTAAACACAGTATATAGAATGTTGAATACCATTGTTACATCATAAAAATTACTTATTTTTTTGTCTTAGATTATGTTAAAAAATGCAAACCATGGCCGATTTTTTGGCAATTATTTCTTAAGACCATATTGCACAAAAGTCCTTAAACACATATATAAGTTATGCTATTGGATTAAATATTACAACAACTACGTGGCAAATGAAGCAGTTTTACTTTGCACATGCAGTCTCTGGAGATACACTAGGAGACTGTTCGTAGGACTACAAATACACTTTGCTTGCAAGTAGAATGAGTGTTGAATAAAACAAACAATTTGGCAATTCATTGTTTTGTGTGGTATTTTCTCCAAACTTAGCCATGGATAACCTTGATAAAAATGGAGACAAAGACTATAATGGTTGTGTTTTCACAGTAGCCTGAGGAATGCTAAACTGTAGTTCTCCAGGAACTCAGTGTCTGATGTTATTTAATTACTTTTATTTCCCATCTCAGCCCTCCAAAATGATTGTTTTAAAATGAAAATTAAGATTCAGAAGAAGAGCCAGCAGTACTTTCAACAAATGACTTATAAATTTGAGAGTTCAAAAACCTTGGAAAAGAATCTCTGTGCATTAAAGTATATATCTGAAGTTGGGCATCTTCATACATGTGAGGATTAGGATCCAACAGATTTCTATTGATCACCTCTCTAACTCGAGAATCAAGACTGACCTAAAAAGAAACAAGAGCAAATACATTAAATAATATTTTTTTCAAAAGACCTCTATTAAGTAACTATAGGTTTGTGATATTTTACAGAAACTTTAAAGAGTAAATCTAACTACCAAAAGTCTTGAGTTCATTTTTTCAGACTACATAACCTTATGTACTTTTCTCTATCAAAATTTGCATTAAATAAACAAACAAAAAAACAGTTCTTTTAAACCAGAAACTTAGTTTACAGATAGCTTAGCTTACTTGGATTTATGGTTTTATGCATTCATTCAGGAGTTTTTAACAATTTCTAATCATGGTTGAAATACCAGAAATTTCCTAACCAGAATATGAATTCACCTTCTCCTATTCTGTGGTTGGCAGAGGTTGGCAATATTGATAAAAAGATAAAAATCTACTGACAGAAAGGAGTTCCATGGCAAAAATTGACAGGCATATAAAATGCCAATTCCCAATAGTTTAATATCCCAACAAGTCCTACTGTGTCAAAAGTAGGAAACCAAGAATGTGGCAGGGCATGCAGTGAGCAGGTATGCTTCATGTCTTACGTCTACCTGGCAGGGACTAGCAAACATCCTTATACATCCAAACACCTCTACTAATGATGAGGCAGATCAATTGCTTGGAGTGAAATCTTTGAGAGGAGAAACAGAAATAGGAATGCCGAATAACCATTAAAATCAATACAGTGTTATTTGAAAAGTGTACAGAAATTAAGTTCTGCAGCGATTTAGGATGTTTCCCCTTCCTCACTAAATGCAAATCCTCTTGGAACTGGTAAAACATGTTGGAAAGGGAAATGGGGAAAAATACTTGGCAGTAAGGGCATGGTTGTAGGAACAGAACTAAAGCCCTGCCCTGAAATACCATATTAGAACAAACCCCAAAGTGGCAAACGACCACTCAGAGTCCAGATTGTTTTCCTCAATCCTCACTATTTAGCAAGGAATAGGACCTGTGATCCATAGTGTTATTTCATGATATATTCAGATACAAACCTTCCATATTTATATTTAAACATGTTGTCATAAGCATTCTGCAAATGCCTTTTAGTTCTGGCTTCTTTTCCCATCACTGTTTGGACTAAGTCTGAGAACGAATTCAATCTCTTATTGAAGCTCCTCATATTCCATCCAGTGTCCCCAAATTCCTGAGCTCTACAGACCAAATTGGGTTGATTGCTACACCCAGTGATGGCTACTAGATTTGTTAGATGGTAATCCAGACTACATTTCTGTGGCTTAGCCAAACCAACTGATACAGGGACACCTCATTTTACTGCACTTCCCTTTACTGTTTTTCACAGATCCTGTGTTTGTTACAAATTGAAGGCTTGTGATGATCCTTGTCAAGCAAGTTGACTGGCACCATTTTTCCAATAGCATGTGCTTACTTTGTGTCTCTGTGTCACATTTATTAGTACTCACAATATTTCAAAATTTTCATCATTATTATATATTTAAAGGTGATCTGTGATCAGTGATCTTTGATGTTACTCTTGTAATTGTTTTAGGAGGCCATGAACCATGCCCGTATAAGACTTAATCAATTCTTAATGATGACTATGGTGTGTATACTGACTGTTCCACTGACCTGCCATCCCCACATCTTTCTCCCTCTCCTCAGACCTCCCTATTTCCCAAGAGACAACAGTATTGAAATTAGGCCAATTAATAACCTGCCAGTGGCCTCTAAGTGTTTAAGTGAAAGGAAGATTCACACATCTCTCTCATTAAAGAAGCCAGAAATGGTTAAACTTAGTGAGAAAGGCATGTTAAAAGCTGAGACTGGCCAAAAACTACGCCTCTTTTGAAAGTTAGCCAAGTTGTGAATGCAAAGGAAATGTTCTCAAAATTAAAAGTGCTACTCCAGCGAACACGTGAATAAGAAAACAAAACAGCCTGTTGCTGAAACGCAAAAAGTCTGAGTGGTCTGGACAGAAGATCAAACATTCCCTTAAACCAAAGCCTAATCCAGAGCAAAGTCCTAACTCTCTTCAATTCTGTGAAGACTGAGAGAGGTAAGGAAGCTGTGTAAGAAAAGTTTGAAGCTCGCAGAGGTTGGTTCATGAGGTTTAGGGAAAGAAGTCATCTCCATAACACAAAAAGCTCAAGGTGAAGCAGGAAATGGCTGATGTAGAAGCTGAAGTAATTTATTCAGAAGATCTAGCTAAGATAATTGATGGAGGTGGCTACACTAAACAACAGGTTTTCAATATAGACAGCCTTATATTGGAAGAAGATGCTATCTAGGACTTTCAAAGCTAGTGAGAGGTCAATGCCTGATATCAAAGATTCAAGGACAGGCTCACTCTGTTGTGAAGGACTAATATAGCTGGTAACTTTCAATGGAAATGAATGCTTATTTACCATTCTGAAAATCCTGGGGCCCTTAAGAATTATGCTAAATCTACTCTGCCTGGGAACTATAAGTGGAACTGAGGAAGGAGACCCAGGCGTCTGGGATCAACTTCCCTTTTGACTGCCACACTGCATTGCAATAGAAGAAAAGGCTGATCGACTGGCGCCTCCTGATTCACCTTCCTGTAGGTGGCAGGCTTGGTCTTGGGGAAACTCTGGAAGACACTGTTTTTACTTAAAACAAGATCAAACCCGAAACCTTTTCACATGTGAGCCCTAAAACAATAAACCGAAACCCTTTCATATGTGATTCCTGAAGCTGTAAACCGAAACCCTTTCATATATGATTCCTGAAGCTGTAAACCGAATCCCTTTTCATATGTGATTTCTAAGGCTGTAAACCTAAGATTCTTCCACATGTAATATATAAAGTATAAGCCTATATAAAGGCAGAACCTTCCTTTGTTAGATGAGCTGAATTTGGACAAATTATCCCTCAGCTCCTGGCTGTAATAAAGACCTCTTCCTTCTCCATTCGGTGTTCAGGAGCTCTGTTTCTCGTGGCCGCTCCTGCTACAGAACAACAAAGCCTAGATGACAGCACATCTGTTTAAAGCATGGCTTACTGGATATTTTAAGCCCACTGTTGAGCCCTACTGCTCCAATAAAAAAAAGATTCCTTTTCAAGTTTTACTGCTCATTGACAATGCTCCTGACAATGCTCATTGACAATCATCCAAGAGCTTTGATGAAGAGGTACGAGGAAATTAGTATTGTTTTCACGCCTGCTAACACAACATCCATTCTGCAGCCCATGGATCAAGAAGTAATTTCAATTTACAATATTATTTAAGAAATCCATTTCATAAGACTACTGCTGCCATGGATAGTGATTCCTTTGATGGATCTAGGCAAAGCAAATAAAAAACCTTCTGGAAATAATTCACCATTGTTTTCATTAAGTACATTTGTGATTCATCGAAGTAGGTCAAAATATCAACAGGAATTTAGGAAAAGTTGATTCCAACTCTCCTGGATGATTTTTGAGGAGTTCAAGAGTTCACTGGAGGAACTGACTGCAGATGTGGCGGAAATAGTAATAGAACTAGAAGTGGAGCCTGGCGACTTCTTTAAAGAATCAGGACTTGCTTCCTATGGATGAGCAAAGAAGACGATTTCTTGAGATGAAATCTATTCCTGGTGGAGATGCTGCAAACATTGTTGAAATGACAATAAAGGATTTAGATTACATAAACTTAGTTGATAAAGCAGCAGCAGGGTTTGAGAGGATTGACTCTTATTTTGAAAGTAGTTCTATTTTGGATAAAATGTTACCAAACAGCATTACATGCTACAGAGAACTCTTTTATGAAAAGTCAATCAGTGTGGCAAAATTCATTATTGTCTTATGTGAATAAATTGCCACAGCCACCCCAACCTTCAGCAACTACCACCCTGATGAGTCAGCAGCCATCAATGTCAAAGCGAAACCCTCCCTCCACCAGCAAAAAGATTATGACTCTCTAAAGGCTCAGATGATTGTTAGCAGTTTCTACCAATAAGGTATTTTAAAATTAAGGTATGCACATTTTTAAGACATCTGCTGTTGCTATGCTATTGCTAAGTATTGTTTATACTATGACTACAGTATAGTATAAGCATATCTTTTATATGCATTGGGAATCCAAAATATTTGTGCAATTTGCTTTATTGTGATTGCTTTATTGCAATTATCTGAACCTGCAGTATTGCTGAAACAAGCCTGAAAACATGACTTTGCTGAACTACACATTTGTCTCTGTTGGGAATTCTATAAAAATTAAAATGTTCTGGAATTGAATTGTTCAGTTTTCATTTTTTGTTATTACCACATGAGGTCACTATCAAGTACAGAGTAATTTTTAAAAGTACAGAATATTTTTCCCCAAGGTTTTTATTTTATCTAAAAATATATTTTTGTGTTTTTATGCCAGAGGGAAATGTTGACACTGAAGTTTAAACTGATTTATCTTATTCTGAAACATCATGTTATGGCAAGGTAAATTCTTAAACACACTCCTCTGTTTTTAGAAATGGTGCTTCCTTTCAAACTTGAGAGAACTTTTGGTTTCAATGGAGCAGGAAACCTTACATTAGTGATTAAGAAAAGAGGGTCATTTACTTCTTAAATAATAGTATCATTAAATGTAGTGTAAAAGTTTCTTCTCAGTGGATAGAATCATATTATCTGAAGACAGATAAAATAACAAACTATTAAATGTCTTATGTCCTCTGTTTAATTTTTTGCAAGCTAAAAACAGTAGTGAAATATTGTAAAGTCATACAGTTCAAGATTTAGTAATCTTTAACAAAGATGCATGTTATTTCTATTTAAAGAATAAAATATTTACCTTAATATCAGGTTGTTTGTCTGAAAAAGCTGTCGATCAGTCAAAAGAAGTGTAGCGAGGTCAAATAATAAGGATAAACCCCATTGGTATAACAATCTATTGTTTCATCTTGTGGTATCTTTGTGCTTCAGAATGTGGATCATCTATAATACAAGGTATTGGTGGTGGATCCCAGTTGGGCCTGGGCGACAGTCACCCTAGGATTCAGATGTGTCTGGATGGCTTATAAAGCCATCTTATCTGGGCTCCATTGCATGAGGGACTGAGGCATTTCCTGTATAGAACTCATCCTAAGGGAAAAGAAAGTTGAGTAGGACAAGACAAGAGCTATCCTCGGGCAATGCAAGTCTCCTCGAACTCAGGCTACATAGACTCATACCTAGGTGGTATAAAGAGAAGAGCACATTACAGTAATAACAGAATTCATAGCACTATAGCACAGTAGCACCACTATTGTGAGACAGGACACAAGACAGCATGATGGGTTTGGCAGTGTTTAACCGGCATAGCAGTGCTGAAAAGTCCGGCAATGTTGAGACATAGCAACTGAAGTTATAAAAAGACACGTGACTTAGCAATAGGTCTGGGTGAAGTTGGAAGCATTCATTCCCACAGGGAGTAGGAGACAGGGAAGAAGAAAAGCAAGGGACTTGCAAGCAAAAAGTAATGAGAACGAAGTGTTCAACAAGGGTATGGAGGAAAAGCGAGGAGAATGAAGATAGAGAAATTCTGTTAGCGTGGCTTGGGAAAATCTGGGCTAAACCGAGTCATATACCTTAGTTAATCTTACTCGATTTCCTATTCATTGAAGAGGATACGAAGGCTGTTTAGCATTGCTGAAAGGGAGTAGACCAACTTTGCCCCGCCTTTTTATTTTAGTCATCGAGGTGGAAGGGAAAATTTGATCCTACGGACATTTTTGGCATAATGATACAAAAAATAATGAATTTTCACTGAAAGTCTTTTTCACCGTACAGAATCCTCCTTTATGTTGTTTAATTCCCTGAACAATGTTTTTCATGTATCACATCCAAGTGTTTTCTCCATTTCCCCCTATCTTATTTTTAGTGTTAGTGAAGTTTCTTTATTTAGAATTTCTTTCCAAGTAAAATTCGGAATAATTTTTTCCCTTTATAAGTCCATATCAAATTTTACCAATTATAACATCTGCCACTGGAAATTTTCTTTTCTGCTTTTAATTTGAACTAAATTTGGTATTCCTATGTTAAATTTTATAAATCTAAAGAATGTATGATTCTCTTATCAATAAATTTTTACTTTGTATACATTTAGTCACATATTATTTTTTGCTGTTATTTCTACTGAAAATAATTAACACATTGCAAATAGACCAATTGTTTGAATTTATCTCTTAGGACAAAGATTATTGGTAGGGCAAACTGTAATGTCACATTCTTGGTGGTGTCCAGATGATAGGAAAGTAGATCCTGCTGGTCTAGGGCAGGGTTCAGGCCTGTGGTTAAGGTTGCTATTTCTCATCATGTGTGAAGTTCTATGGTTGGGTTTATAGAGATCTATGGTAACTTCACGAAGAAAATATTAGGCAATGGAAGAACTAATCATCATGTTGTAGTTGGAAGAGCACCATATTTGGAATCAGAAGATCTTGGGCTTGCATTCTATCTCTACCAGATATATTTCTAATGCCCTCAAACATTAATTTTACCTCTTTAAGAGTCAGTTTCTGGGCAGATCACAAGGTCAGGAGATCGAGGCCATTTTGACCAACATGGTGAAACCCTGTCTCTAATAAAAATACAAAAGTTAGCTGGTGTGGTGGCACATGCCTGTAATCCCAGCTACTCAGGAGGCTGAGGCAGGAAAATTGCTTGAACCAGGGAGTTGGAGGTTGCAGTGAGTCGAGATTGCGCCACTGCACTCCAGCCTGGGCAACAAGAGCAAGACTGTCTCAAAAAAAGAAAACAAATTTAGTTTCTTTTGCTGTAAAGTGGTAGCAACTGTTGTGGCTGAAAGATTGTTGTGAGAGTAAGATTGTAATAATATATGCAAGACCACTGTGCCAATAATGAGGCCAATGTAAAGTAATTAATAATAATTGATCATAATTATGACATCAACTTGAACAAACCCAATGTGTTTGGCTTTTACACCAACTTGAATTTTACCATCTGGGAGTGACCTTACCTGACTACCTGTATTCCATCTAATTCAATATCCATCCTAACACAATTTTCAGTTATTGTTTCAACAAGGTTTGTCTTCCTAAAATGTAAACTCCATTAAGGGATTAATTTGTGTCTCTTGTTTATCATCATATCCCCAACATCTAGCCCAGTGCTTGGCTCATAGGAAATAGTCAATTAATATTTTTTCAATGATAATATGCATGTGTAAAGAAATACATTTAGGAAAATACAGTGAAGTGACTTCTGTTTAGAAAAACTGTCTTAAATCTTCGAATGTGCTAAATTCACATACTTTCACTTGAAGATACATCTACATGCACACACAGAATCTGCATGTCTGTCACATAAGCATTATTTTTTAGATAATTCTGGTGTTTAAATAGGTCTATTACTTTTTTCTCTCAGATAGTAACTGGGAATTTAAAAAAATCAGAAAAAGCAAACTTCTACTACTATTAAAATTACCATTCTCCAGAGCTTGAACATCATAGATTTGGTGGGTTTTTAAGCTTTCTCCACGCCTTCATTCATAACCCTAGGACGTGGAGATTCCAGAGCACTGAAGTGCGTTTCTAAGTGGCCCACAGATGTAAGTGACAGATCCAGTTTATAGTCCTGGTAGTGACAATGTCATCACTAGGCAGATTTCTACATCACTGGACCATAGTTTTCTTCAATTCAGATAAATGTCTTATATGTGTTGAAGGATTTATAATTATTTCTTCAGTAGCTCAGTGCAGTTTACAGTTGATAACCTTTAAATATATTTTTCATTCAGGTTCTTTATTTTGCTAGGTTTGTCTTTTGATATAGTTTGGATGTTTGTTCCCAACCTAACTGCATGTTGTAATGTAATCCCCAGTGTTGGAGATGGGGTCTGTTGGGAATGACTGGTTCACAAAGGCAGATTTCTCATGAATGGTTTAGCACCATCTTCTCGGTGTTGTCCTTGTGATAGTGAGTGAACTCTTGTGAGATCTGGTTATTTAAAGGTGAGTGGGACCTCCCCGCCCCTTGCTCCTGCTTTGGATATGTGACGTGCTTGCTCCCGCTTCATCTTCTGCCATGATTATAAGCTTCCTTAGTCCTCCCAAGAAGCTGAGCTAATGCCAGCACCATGCTTCCTGTGAAGCCTGCAGAACTGTGAGCCAATTCAACCTCTTTTCTTTATAAATCACCCAGTTTCAGGTATTTCTTTATAGCAATGCAAGATTGGCCTAACGCATCTTTTCAATAATAAATATAAGCTGCCACCAAAATCTGCTACGTGTAGCAAGTCTATATTAGGCTTCAAGGCCTCTTTATTGTCTTCGTTTTCCCCTTGAAGAGATCATTTCTTAAAAGTTTACTTTTTAAACAAAGGGTATTTCTTGTTTAAATGTCTAGATTTTCTTTTTAAATTTGGCCTTTTCCTTCATAAAATGTACACTATTCCAAGAACAGAAGTTATATCAACTCCTAATTGCAAATATTTTATAACGTAATGCTCAAATTATTACAAATGCATAAAACATGCTCTTAAAATAATGAAATGTAATTTTTTGCACATTGACTTTAATAGTTTCATTAAGGAAAAAAGTTATCTATACGTAATTTTTTAAATGGTTTTTTCCTACATTTAACAAAAAAGAACACCACATTCAATCAAATTAAGGTAAAATAAAAGTCTAGCGAAGAAAAATGCCCTTCTGTTCAATAATAAAATCATGACAACTTTTAGTCATTACCATTTTATAATGATTCAAATGTTTGTGTTCTTTAAAAATATTCTGAATAAGTAGAAACTTATATAGAATTTTAGAGGTAGAAAGCCCAGATTGTTCAGCCCCAAAATGAGAAATAGGAACTCATATATTAACTGCTTTGAGTACTATGTTTAAATAGATTCTGAGGTTCACTGTGGGGACAGCACTAAGGAGGACCATGATGGATAAGCTATGCCATTAGGTGGAGAGGATGAAGAAGTATCACAAATACTCTGAATAAGAAGAAACATATATAGAATTTCAGAGGGAGAAAGGCCAGAATGGCCTGACACATCTTTTCAGTAGCTTTATAGCCTTACAGTTGCCATTATGCATTTGGTTTGTTAGTTTCTGTGCTTATTTGTATTGTTATTTTTGTAAACAAATGAACTCAATGTTAAGACTCAGAGAAGTGAAGTGATTTATTCCAGGCCACACAACTGGGTTGTGGCAAAGGCAGGCTTAAAATCCCGTGCACCTGAATAGTAGTCCAGTGCTCTAACTCCTCTATAATCAGGGCTCTCTTGATCTGACATGTGCTGTCTCCAATGTTAGAAAACAAAATTTGAAGAGTCATAACACAATGTCATAAGTTAGTAATGTATTGTGGCTGATTAGAAATGGATGACTTTTGTATAGGAAGTTCAGTGAGGTATAACAGATAAAAGGGGCTCCGGAATAGCTGGAAAGTGCATGCCACACGCTGAGTGTATCAGTGAGTTCAGTCAATGAACAAGATACGGTTTAAAACAAAGCTTTTTAACAATTATCTTTTGTAACTGAAAATATCTACTTTTGGTTATTTGTTTTTTCCGTTAAATAATAATCCAATTTAATTACTATGTTGATGCATAGAAATAAGCTGGCTAAACAATGGCACTTCAGTGGTCTATTAATTTAGATTCTCTATCAAGAGTTAATTACAATTCAGCAAAAGGGTAACAATTTGAATTTCACCTCTCTGTCTCTTCCTCTCTATGATATTTTGAGGATATTAAAGAATGAGCGATGGCCAAAATATGGGTATTAGGAAACATAAAGGAGAGAATAAATATGGTTACAACACTAAATATTAGCATATGTAATTTTGAAAAGTTCATATTCTTGATCAGGAAATGAGATTTTAGTGACTATGGTGAAAGTTGTGTTCAAAATAAAGAAAGTAGATGAAAATGGCGGAGTGCAGTGGCTCACACCTGTAATCCGAGCACTTTGGGAGGCCAAGGCAGGCAGGTCACTTGAGGTCAGGAGTTCGAGACCAGTCTGGCCAACATGTTGAAACCCTGTCACCACTAAAAATTTAAGAATTAACCAGGTGTGTTGGAAGGTGCCTGTAATGCCAGCTTCTTGGAAGGCTGAGGCAGGAGAATTGCTTGAACCCAGGAGGTGGAGGTTGCAATGAACTGAGATGGCACCACTGCATTCCAGCCTGGGTGACACAGTGAGACTCCACCTCAAAAAAAAAAAAAAATCAGATGGAAACAAATCTCCATTACTTTAGCAAAAAGAATGAAAACCCACTAGTTGATATTTAAATAATCACTATTGTAACTCTAAACATGGCTTAAAGAGAAAAAATTAAGTATTTTACAAAATGCCATCAATCACTGACATCAGAAAATCAGGGGCTGTGTGGATAATAAGAAAATGTTTCACATAAAAAGCTAAACATTAAATAACAGAAACTGTAAACATAAGGGAATTACATGTACATAGTATTGAGACTATTTTTTCTCCTAACACTGAAAAAGAACAGAAGAGTCATCATTTTAAGATGATACAAATATAGCACAAAGGAATGGACTAAGTAATCTAGACAACTATCACTTTAAGATGTCACATCTTACATACTTTGGGGGCAGAAATAGGCTAATCTTCCCAAAGACTCTCATTTTGTATAATTATAGGCAAAAGAAGCACATAGTTGGGGACATTTGGATCATCTGGTTTATTTGCCATATGGAATAACTTTAAAATAATAAAAATTAGCATAAAATTATTATATTGATAAAATCTGAGTTGTTTAGATGCTAAAATTCAACTACATACTGAATAATGTAGTTTTAGGATGCAGAATTATGCTGGTGTTAGAAATACAGTGTGACATCAGTAACAAATGTGTTGAGGCTACACATTTGTTACTGATGTCACATTGTATTACATTTATTAAATTTTCTCCACCTGGTTTTGATGAATACATTTTTCACGTTCATGCAGGAAATAAAAAAGTAAATCAATCTTTTGTGCATCTAATTCTAGAAGCTTTCTCATTTTGTACAGACAGTAGTCCTCAGGCACTCTGGAATACCAGTGGTACTTTAACCTAACTAATAAAAAAATCTAAATAATTTAGGTACTACATATATTATTAGAAGTGAAATACTTTATGTAGCATTCCAAACTTAGAGATTAATAAAATAGACACTAATTCCTTTGACAGATCTCAAAGCAAGGAGTGTAAGGCCGCCTGGGACCACGCCAAGTATTAGAGGAGGCACATATGACTACAGCCCATAAATGTTCAGGTGTACTAGGGATGGGCAAGCCATTTAAATGCAAAGGTAAAAATCAGTCATTTGGGAGAAACAAAAAAGACAAAAAGAGGGTGGGATGGAAAAGAGAAGACATTCTAGGAACCTCTGTGTTCTCTAAGTGCTTTGAAGGCCTCTGGAGCTCCATCACTCAGGGCTCCAAGGGCCTGGTCACACTATTAACCACTCCTTCACCAAATGCGTTTAACTCTATTAACTGAAACATTTCTCAAGAACAAATTAAGTTTTAAAAAGTCAATGGAAAAGTGCTATTTGGTTGCTAGAAGTATTGCTTATTGATTAGGTACATTCTGGCAATGGGAAAGAAGCTTGCACTTTCAATAAGAGAAAATCTAGAATAAAGTAAAATAATTTCCATTTCCCACCTAAGAATATTAGTGGTCATCAAGGCTCAGTTTTCATTTCTGTAAAAATTCAATCATAAACATCAACAAACGTCAGATTTTTTTGGAGTCCCTATACTAGAGGTTTTACAACTAGTACATATGTGGAAAACTTGTTAAAAGTGCAGATTTCTGGGCCCTATTTCCATAAATTCAGACTTAGAAGTCCTGGTTAGGCCTTAAGAATTTGTTTTTTAAACAAATGCTCCAGGTGATTCTCATTCACATGATCAAGGGGTTATGCTTTGGAAAAAACCACCCTAAAATAAATTCTCTCTTTCCATTTTCATTTGTCACAGCAAATTGTGTTTAAGCAGGCTCTTTAGTGTTAGTTCTGAAAAGCAAGTGGACTACCACACAAGTGAGCTAAACAGTCAAAGCGTAGGGGGGAACCCTAGCCTTCAAACATGTGTCCAGGGAGATTCTTCCAATGGCAGCTGAATTCTCTACCCAGTGAGTTCTTCTACCCGCTCACTCCACATCCCATTCCCTACCCAATCTGGACAGTCATCCCTTGAGGGTTAGCCTTGGTCCTAGAAAGCCCACCTCAATGTTTTCCAGATTTTTACCTCTTTTGGTGATAGTATAGAAATGTAATCTTCATATATCATTCTAGCCTTTTCTTCGATTACTTTTTTGTTCTGCTCTTTCTTTAAGTCTTCACAGGCAAGCCAGAAAAGTAGGTTCTCTTCACTGTATTCTGTTCGGAGGAACTCTCTGAAAAGGTTTCTTCCTGCTGGGGCCTTCATCATCTTGTCAAAATTTTGAGACCAGGACAAGACTTCCTCCGCAGTGGGGTTTTGGCTGCAAAGACAGAATGGGGCCTTGATCAAAGGGAACTTTGGTGAATGCTAGACCAGATAAGGAGAGGAGTAGACAGACATTCTTTATCAGGCCCCGCGTGGTGGCTTATGTCTGTAATCCCAGCACTATGGGAGGCAGAGGCAGGCGGATCCCAAGGTCAGGAAATCAAGATCATCCTGGCCAACGTAGTGAGACCCCATCTCTACTCAAAATACAAAAATTAGCTGGGCGTGGTGGCGTATGCCTGTACTCCCAGCTACTTGGGAGGCTGAGGCAGGAGAATCGTTTTAACCTGGGAGGCAGAGGTTGCAGTGAGTCAAGATTGCACCACTGCATTCCAGCCTGGCAACAGAGGGAGACTCCGGCTCAAAAAAAAAAAAAAAAAAAAGATATTCTGTCAATTTTCTGCCATCTAGTGGTCAGTATTTTGTCACTTAGTCCAGCCTGATCTGGCAAGACCTGCTAGGACTAGGTCAGTTATTTCTGGGTTTTGACAAAAATTCATGCAGGCATAAGAGGCATGTAGGGAGCCAAGCATTCAAATAGCAACATAATATGCATGTAGTCATCATACATTCCTAATGAAGCTGGGAAATGTTCAACCTTTAACAATATGTTGCAAGTTGACAATAACAGTCTGTAAGTGACTTAGGACAAACTGAATGTTTTTCTTTGCCTCTAATCAGGATTTCAGTTTTCCAGCCATAAGATAGTGTTTTTTTTTTTTTTTTTCTCATCTCTGGTGGCCTTTTCATTTGTCACTTGGTTTAAAGTAACAATATGCTGTGTGCACTTGTCATATATTTTCCTAAACTTTAATAATTTTTCTGCTGGGCATGGTGGTTCATGCTTATAATCCCAATGCTTTGGAAGGCTGAGGTGGGAGGATCTCTTGAGGCCAGGAATTTGCGGCTAGCCAGGAAACATAGCAAGACTCTGTCTCTGGAAAAAAGTTTAAAAATTAGTTGGGTGTGGTGGTATGTGCCTGTAGTCCCAGCTACTTGGGAGTTGAGGCAGGAGAATCACTTGAGCCAGGACCTTGAGGTTACAGTGAGCTATGATCATGCCACTGCACTCCTGGCTAGGCAACAAAGTGAGATCCTGTGTCTGAAAAAAAAAAAAAAGATTTTTTTTTAAATGAAAAATTATGTACAAATTGTTAGTCGTGAATGGAGTTATCACAGTTGGAAGCAGAAGTCTTCTATAATGACATTGACATTGTGAATTTAAAACTATATACAGATTTTTTTAATGACTATGTGACTGCTAAAACCTCCAGTAATTAATCCACTTGCTTATACATTAAAGAAGTAGAAGAGAGAAGCTTGGAGAGTCTTATGGTTAAAATGATTCTGATCTTCCTTTCCTATTCAATGATCTATTTAATAATTTTCCAACCTAAAAGCCATTTGGCCAAAGAAGTACAAATATATATATATATATATATATATATATATATATATATATATTTATTTATTTTACCTTTTTGACCAGGTGTTTCAAATAGATTGTTACTATTGCATAATGTATGCACTTCCTCATTCAATTAATTTTTTTTAATTTTAAAAAGCTTAACAATTACCATGAAACATCATTATTAAAACCTTCTCATAAAAAGCTGAAAAAGAAAGAACTTATAATTATATGACTGGTCTATTCGTATTTTGATTTTAGTCCATAGGTACCTCTCATTTGGGAGGAAACACCTGGGAGAATCCACTCTGGTGGAAATGGAACCAGGAGTCGGCTGGGTGCCCTTCCTTACTGACTTGGATGTTCCATGTTTTAAATTTTCAGAAATGAGAAGTAATGAATTAGGGCAATTTTTTTTTTGTACAGGATATGATAATCTTTATTTTTTTAAAGAGAAAAGTAAATTTAGACCATGTTTTAGCCAATAACTTCACATTGCTAATAGAAAAATTGCTGAAAAGCAACTGCAATGACAAAATAAGATCTTCTAGATGGAATTTGCATTCACTTCCCAAAATCATTTTAAAGAGTACCATGAAGCAAGAGGTAATACTTAGGCATGCAGTAGATGTAAATGGCATATAAATATAAGAAACAATAGCTATGTGGTTCTCACACTCACCATTCCTCTAGGACCTGGATACTCTCCATTTTTGCAGTGTGTATGGGTCTTCCCGCATTTTCCCCTCTTTCTTCATTCCTAACAGTGAGGCTGTAATGTAGCAGAACATTTAATTTTGTCAAGGAAAATTCATCAGTTGAAGAAAAGAATAAATGTTTCTGGAGAAACATTTCACAGGAGATCTTATATTCAACAATGTGAGAATATTTAAAGTATAAAAAGAGCAATGCCATTTTTAAATGATGGGTAAGTCCCTGTCAACTAACGGGAGGAGAATAATTTTTAAATAAAATTATGAAGTAAATCAGACTCTCAAAAGCGGATATTGTTAAATATTCTGACTTCATCCTTACATAATCTGAATTATTTAGTATTTCTGAGATACATGATTAATGCTTTAATATTTGAAATACATATAAATAATTACCTTACTCTTTAAACAAAAAGTCATTTTGATTTTTGGTTAATTCTATTCATAGTCTGTTTTCCATTATTTTTCCCCCATTGAGAGCTAAGATAAAATGTGTCAGAATCTAATACAGATTTTGTTAAATTTACATCATCTTTCCCTGCAGACCAAGCTATTGTTACCAATAATATCATTCCTTCAATTGCTAAAATCAAGCTGGATTTATACTTGACTTTGTTTTTGCCCATTCACCCTAGTAAATCAATCTCTGATGTCTTGAAAGGGACAGACCAGTAACTGAGCGTTTAGAGCATGTGAACATTGGTTGGGAGGGGTCTGTGTCTATGCGGCATAGGTTTGGGAATTCTACAGCATCATAGAGGACAGAGGATAATGCTGAAGGTTTTAGTAGCTCAGAACAAGAATAATTATAAAAATTGTCCAATTCAGATAAACGGTAGCTGAGCAGTGCTTTACAGTGGAACACCCAAAATTCTAGGCATAGACTAGACATAACAGGGAAGGTTATGGGAGATACTAACAAGCAGGGTAGGGAGGGTAATTCCGTGGGTTGAGAAAATTTGAGCTCCCGAATTAGCTAACTGATCCCTCTGTCGAGAAGCCAAGGAGCTTCATAAGAGCTTGGCTGAGAGCACAAGAAGTTCAGATAACATCTCTTATTTGTTCCTGCTTTCACTGATTTACTCAAAATAAGAGGCAATGGAAACGATGACTTTCTAATGCCATTATGTGATAGGCACCATTCTTTTACCATTAAGATTATTAACTCCATTTTACAGATAAGCAAAGTGAGGTGCAGACCTATCTGGGAGGTTGGCCCAAAACTGAGCACTACATAGGTGGTATAGTTGGAATTGGAAGCCTACTCTGCTCAGCAATCCTGTATTTCTGAGTGCCTATTATGAACCAGGGCTGCTGACAATCACTGAGGTCACAGACCACTTACTATGTGTCACTAAACATGGTTGGCGTGGAAAAAATGTGTTCAGGAAGAGGTGCCCAACAAACAGTTATTCTCAATCTGGAAAGTCTGATAAGAGAAACCAAGACAATCTCCCTAATTCATTTTTTCATTCTTAAGTCCAAGCATGAGGATGGAGCAAAGGGAATAATTTCAGGAGGAGGAGCCTGACAAGTGGGTCAGTCTACAACAGAAAGTGAGGCTAGACAGGAAAACTGACCTGAGAGAGCAGAGTCACTGGAAAAAAGAAAACCCAATAGGAATTGAAAAGGATTCTCTAGTCAGGAAAAGGACACTCCATAGAAAACATAGGCTTTTATAGTGAAATCCATTGAATTTGCCTCTACCCATTTCTAGGGACAGGGGCAGGTTTATTGGTGTAGAACCGTGGAGGGAAAAGTAGTGTAGCCCAAAGGATTCTGGGGAACAGAAATTAGAGTGGATGGTCCCTCTGACCCGCTGCTCATTGACTAGACCCCTGCAGGAGGCAGCAGTCCCATAGTTAGAGATAACAAAACCTTCAGTGTAGTGTACTTGTGGGGAGGAATTCAGAAAGAGCGCATCGTTTTTTAGGTATTTGCGTGTGAGTGCTGTGAATGTGTCTGTGGCTTGAGATAGCCTAGGAAACCTCAGTCCTCCGTGTCACTAAACAAATAGGTCAGATAAGTGTTTTAGAGGAGATTCACTAAGAGGTAAGAGTTCTTCTCTAGAATTCAATGTATTTCCAGTAATAATGGGAAAAGTGGATGGGGGGGTACACTACTGACAATATTATGTAAAACTTCCTGTACATATAAAATGTACAATTTTTAAGTAAATTCTATTCAACTCTTTTTAAAATAGGAAATTGCAACTCATTCTGCCAAACTTCATTAAGCTTATACTTGTGTGTGCAAACACATATTAAGGCACTATAGCACAACTAGCAAAAGAGCTCTCATTGCCTGCTAAAATAATAAACTCATTGAGTTTGTTTTTATTACATTTCCACACAGTGTCCCACAGAAGGCAGTAAATAAGATGCAGGTATACTTCATTTCATTAAACATCTTTGAGAAATTTGTTCTCCTTTGTGCCTTTGCTGTAGAGTGACAAATCTGGAGCCCACAGGCATGATTGATGATTTTCTGAACATGAATTCTGGCTCTTCTATCCGTTTCTGCGATATTTACAAACATCCCAAATGCTACCATATTAGAGCAATCATTATGAAATGTTGGTTGAGTTTACATTTTTCTTTTCTACAGATGGTAAAATATGAACACACATTTGGAATAAAACTACTTATAACATTCCGTAAATGCTTAACTATTCAGTTTGTGCAACTCTTGATCTAATATTGGACACAATCTTGCCCTGTAGAAAGAGAAATTGAACTTTGGCAACAGACAAGCTGTCCTTTTTATTAACTGCCCTTTACTACTGGTCTTAAAAAATGAATTTCAAGATTTCAGTTATTAGGAACTGCTAAAAATATCATTTTAAGTTAAAGAGAAATGGAAAAAATAGATAAGAGATTGATATTTAGCTGTTTGCCTGTCTTGATATTGACGAATGGCTGTCCTACTTGGTCCTGGTCCAAGTAGTACAGTTTTTTTAAGGTAATAATTTACCGGAAATATTTGCTCTAGATCAGCTTACATATGTTAATATGTGTTTGAGGAAAGCCCTAAAAGGAAAATACCAGATAAACAGTTTTGAGGGGTCCCACAGATATACCTTTTTTTTTTTTAGCCCATATCTCTCCAAGAATAGACACTGACTTTCATGTATGCAACATTTAAAACTAACATTTCTACATTTTAAGCAATAAAAGCCACAAAGAGAACCACATGCATACACAATGTTCACTGTGGGAGTCTTGATCAAAGCTTAAATACTTTATGGAAGAAAAGTGCTGATATCCTAGGCTAAATATAGTAAAATAAGCATTTAAAATCCCATTAGAGATTTTTCTAGAATAGTGACTTTGAAAAGGGTGGAAAAACACTTGGTACATTTCAGAAATTAAGAAAATGTGCCCCCTCGCTCTGTAGGTGGATTGTTTGTTTATAGGGGAGTGTGGATGTTGGGGTGAGAAAAAACACTACTTGCTGCCAGAGTTTACCTACTGATCTGTCATCATAGATATGTGCAGGGTCTATTTTGGAAGATAGTCTTCTGTTGTAAGGAAAACAATTGGTTCTTAAGAAAAACTGTTAAAACGGTTGCAAAGAAGATGAAAACTTATCAGTAGCCATGGTAACTCTGGGATAGAGACTAGTCACGAAACCACATATATTTACAGAAAAATTAAACTGAAGAATCAATAAGATGCCTCAATTTAATACAGTGTGACATCAAGGCTCTAAGAGAGAACTACTGTCACTGGTGAAAGCAGTCTATTCAATATTGAAATATTCTCACATTGTGATATCAATCTTTTCTTTTCATTTAACAGCTTCTGCCTCAAAGTTCCTGATGCTAAAATGAAATCAACATCCCTCAGGCTCTGAAAATGAATTGGTAGATTATTCTTTAAATATTTCATTTTCAGCGTTTTCAAGATATCACAGTAAATCCTACAGCTTTTTTTTTTTTCAGGAGTTAGCAATAATTTACAAATGTGTATGAAACACTGGTTCACTCAACGTTGCCTGGGTTGGACATACAAGATGAATAGGACAAAGGCTCTGCTACTGAGGAGCTCAGACGGGTAAATAAACATCACATGGCATTGTGATAAGAACTCAAATACAGTTGTGCTTATGGGGTGTCTTAGACACCCTCAATGGTACCTGTGCTTTTGATTAAGGGAATTGGGAAAAGCTTCACAGAAGAAGTAATGATTAAATTGGGTTGAAAATGAGCAGTTGTTTGCCAGATGGAGACCTGGACAAAGGGGATCTCAATTACAATGGGGATAAAATCGTGTAGGGACACGATATAAATGTAGAACACAATGAACACATCAGGTGTTGCAGAGCAGTACCAGGAGATTAAAATAGGCAGCAAAGTATGTGTTATCCAAGAAAACGATGAGGTGGACTCCAAATGTAAAGGCAGCAGGTCATGTTTTTTTTTTTTCTTACCCCACTATCCACACTTCCCTGTAAACAAACAGACAATCTACCCATATAACGAGGGGGTGGCACATTTGCCACCCCTTAATTTCTTTAAGGTTTGGAAAAATAAACCTCCTAGTACAAACCAGTGCATTGAGTCTGAATGCCCTCTATAAGGCATCATCCCACAAACCATCCTTTAGGATTGTTTAAGCTTTCCATGCTTTGTTTTCAGCATTCATAATGGGGATAATGGCAATGACCTACTTCACAAGGATGTAAAACAAAAAATAAAAAGCTGGTGACAAAAAGGCACATTATTACAAATGCCTAGTTGAATGGAAGGGCAAGTTGCATATTAAAATTTAATTCTAAGTTTACCAAAGAGCTTTTTATTTCCACCTGAATAAACAGAGACTTTCCCTTTGCCATTATTACAAAACACTTCCTTATACATTACCTTGTCACTTCCTTCTCACAACAGTGCTTGAAGGTTAGCAGGGGAGTTGTGATTAGTCATTCTTGTTTGATTTATCAGGAAACAGTCATTGGGGCTGACTTACACAATACCCACAACTCGAATTTATCAGAACTAGGATTGGAATTCACATCTTCTGACTTCCAGTCTCAGGCTCATTTTCACTCTGCAATGCCA